AATAATTATGATTTTTCTGAGCAACTCATTTTACTTTTGTGATTGATTTTTCACAGCCTCAGGTTAACAATTCTGAAATATGTTGATCAGTTCTAATAAGAAAAATAAGACAAGGCAAACTCAATTGATTAATGTCCATAATTATTTGGGGGCAGATATATTCATGTGTGTATGAACAGAAATATATTCAAATAAATAATACCCATATTTTTAAGTCAATGATTAAATTTATTCAATCCATTTTTACTAATTTGTAGGAATAAAGAAAAATCAAAAATCAGGTTCTGACCTAATCAAAGCCATAAGTTGTTTGTTAAAACATGCATTGTTAGCATCCTAATTATCTCTATTTGTGTTTGTTTAATTAGATAAACAGATGAAACATTTATAATCCAGATGTGACAAACTCAGTGCTGTCATTTACCTTTCAAGGATCATAGAATTTTTGCTTTTAGCACATTCCCTCGAGTACCTACATGTTTTCATTATAAACTGGTAGTTGAGAAAACATGTCAGATGCTAAATACAAAATCCACCATGTCGGAAACATGGAGAAACATAACAACTGTTTTGAGGAAAATGTCGTGAAGTCAAGTTGCATAAAATCTTAAGTAATTTGCCAATGAGTTTTAATTTGCATTTACGTTACACCCAACTTCAAATGCTAAATAGTTTCTGCTTAACTACTATAGGACTGAAATTATTTTTCTAAATCCGCATAAAGCCTTAGCTACAATATCTATGTTTTGCAAGTTTAATGATAATACAAGTAAGACGTGGTAAAAGGAATAAAATAGTTTATCTAAAGCACTTTTGGCCTTTTAGTGCTTCCTACATTTCCTGAAATCTTATACAACACCACCGGGCACTAAAGGGAACAACTCCTTATGTGAATATCCAGTACATTTTATGACCAAAAGGACAGAAAACTTAAGACTCTTTAATGGGTTCATATTCACCAAAGTAAATAAAAACTAAAACTTTAGGATGCTTATGTAAAAAGTAAAGTAATTCATATTATTTTCTTGTGAATTACACATTTTCATCCACCATTAAATATAGAGAAATTAATTGTATAATACAATGAATATAACAATGAAAAGTTATACACAAAAGTAGATCTGGGGTTAAAATGCAGAACACCAAAAATATCTCATCAGTTTTTGAATGACTACTACCTAATAATATATTTCTACTTAATAAAATACATGTTAATTTCTACCATTTTGAAATTATATTTGCAGTTATTTTCACTCATAGATTTGTTCAATTAAATAATATGTATTTTCAGATGAAAAATTAAAAGGTCTGACATATATTTACCAACATTTGTTTAGTAAAGGGAAACTATCATAAAAATTTAGTTACACTGAATTCTCTAAACTTACTTAATTTAAAGAAAACTAATTTTATGAAAAGTAAAATACATCAAAAAGTAGTGGGGAATCAATGGGTATATTAAATAAGAAAAAATGGTTTTATAGATTGCTCGCTATATTTACTTAAAATTATTGTTAAAATAAGCATGTATTTAACATAATTTTGTGTAAAATAAAAATGTAATGCCATTATTTTGATGTATGGATACTATGAGAAAAATAATTTAAAAATTGATTCTTTACAAAATGGTGTCATTATATTTGAATATATACTGTTATCAATATTAAATTGTGTTGTAGTGCTATCTGTTATCATTTGTAATTTTGCAGTAAAGTATCAAACAAGCAAGAAATTGAAGTCTGTTTCCTTAACTGGATGAATGAACACCATCATGAAAAGAGGATTTGGAGAGATCCTAAGAATCACGTGCTTTCATCAGTAAGGAAGGATTGTAGAAAAGGCGATATTTTGGAGTGTCCTAGCAAAACTTACCTTGTAAAGGTTAGCACAATAACAATTCTCCATAGCAAAAATTCTCAAATCTAAGATTGTGAATCCACTTTTTTCTAATGTAGTCACTTAGAAAAATCAGCTAACAATAAAAAAAAAAACTTAAAAGCATTGACTTTTTTATACTTTATTCCAACAAAACAAATTACTATTTACTTATTTTACAGTTAATCTCCGTGCTAAATCTGAAAGTATGCTCTCAATAACAACTATAATAAAAGAATGTTGGGATAATGACACAAGATAAGAGCAAGGAAAAATGCTCATTTAAGGATATAATCTCTTTCACATATGCAAGCTTTAAGTAGAAGTGAAGTAGGATAAATGCTGCAGAAAAAGTAATGTAGAGAATTCCTACAGGAAAAAAAAAGTTATCAAAAAGCAATGGAAAGTCTTTCTAGACTCCAATGCCCTCCAGGACTTCAATTTAAAAAGTCAAAGTCTTCCTGAGGGATTTTGCTCTACAAAATTATGTACAATTTCATTTTGTACACTACAGTTCCTTAATATGCTTAACTAGTTGATGAAAATGTGGAGAATAATCATACAGATTTAGTTTTATAAGTAGTAACCTTGGTTGGTAAGGCAGAGATAATGTTATGTATTCAACAAGTTCATTTCATATTCTTTCTAATTCCCCAACTAATTTACATGCCCAAACCTCTGTTGCAATTAAATTGGGCCAGTGGAATTGGGCTTCGGGCCAATTGGATTGGGACTATACTGCAGAGTTCTCCATAAACTTTCTTCTCTTCGTCAATGCAGTGTGCAGTGTAATATTCTAAAGGCTTAAAAACTGAAGAGCCTGTCCTGGGTACCTGAAAGATTGAATGGAACAAAAAACTAAATCTTCTTTCTACCTTACAAATATGTGACATAATGGCATAATAAATCCTGATAATATTAACCACTGAGATGTGGAAAAGGCTGGATTAAGCATCCATTTGTTTATTTCTGAAATATTATGAATAATAATAAATATTTATACAGCATATAAAGAAAACCTTGGGTCTTAGAGAAAAGCAATTGTGATCACTTCAATGGATCTTTATGAGTAGGAATAATGTCTGGATACTGTGTAATCTCAAATATTTTCACAAATGGGACACGTGAAAGTCTTAATTCCCAAACCAAACGCTGAACCTGTCATCTTACTGTGATAATATTGTTGTTTCTGGGGCCTGTGTAGTGACACAGCTTGTTAGGATGCCGCTTGTAACACTGGCATCCTAGAGTGCTAGCTATAAGTGCCAGGTGCTCTGCTTTCAATTCAGCTTGTTATTCATGTGCCTGGGAAGTTTCTGGGTCCTGGCGATTCAGGTGGGAGACACAGATGGAGTCCCAGGCTCCTGACTTAAGCCCAACTGATCCCTGGCCATTGTGACAATTTAGGGAGTGAATCAATGGATGGAAGATCTCCCGCCCTCTGTCTCCCACTGTATCTCCCCTCCCCTCTATGTGTGTATACATTTGTGTTTAACTGTATCTTTCAAACAGAAATCTTTTTTTAAAATAGTGTTATTCTTACTCATAAATGACTAAAGCATTATTTTCCATTCATTTCTTATCATACAGTGAGTATGTAGATTATATAATTTAATTTCAAAGTGATGCTGTGAAGGAGTTTTAGTAACATGCTCACCATGTGAATACATTGATTCTGTAAGAGTTGCAGCTAATCAGTAGTAGAGTCAGGATTCAAAAGGCCTTTTTAACTCTATAGCCATTTTTTTTTAATGTATAATATCGTATTGTCAGTAATACTTGGTCCTAACAAATTATCATTTGAGCAATAATTATTTGCTTCTACTTTCCTGTCCACACATACAATTATATAATCGTATGCACATTTTTTTTGTCATAGGAAATTCTGACAGGAAGGACTGAAATTGGCAGACACATCACACTCCGATATCTGCCTCTCATACTGGAATCCTTACTTCACATTGTCCAGCCAGAATATTCTCCTTCTATGAAATATAGACAAATAGCAAATGAACAACTTGTGTTTCATTTCTGTAATAAAATTAATTTATGAACAATAACTTAAATTTTTAAATAACTTCACTGAAGAGCTAGAGCATTGCTTACTTAAAGGTAATTGCCATTACAAATAATATGCTTCAAATTCATGTGACTGATATATATTTTTTAAGAGCAGAACTACTTTACGTCAAATAATAATGAAATTGTTGCATGAAAAACATGAATTCAGGATGAAGATATTTATATGGGCAGACTTTAATAGCATCACATTTATTAAAAAATTTTACTTCAAAGGTATAACAACAGAGAAAAAGAGATTTTCCTTCTAATGATGTACTTCCCAAATGGCAGCAAACAGCTTCAGCTGGACAGACGGACGCCAGCTCTCACAGGTAGGAGACCGGGGACCCAAGCTTCGACTCTTTTCCACTGCTTTTCCATACAGATTAGCAGGGAGGTGGTTCAAAAAAGAGCAGCAGGAACTCAGATTGGTGCAACAGATATGGGGTGTGAGCTTCACAGACGGTGGCCTAATCTGTTGCACCATTGCATGGGCCTTGAGAGCATCATTTAGATTGAATTCTCATGGAACGAAAACCCCTTACTCATCTACAAATTGTTACTTGCATAGATTGTCCTGCTGTGATTCTGATCTTCCGTTATCTGCTTGCAGTATTGTATTTTTTGTAAATAAACTAGTACTTTGGTTAAGTGAAATTCTGTTCTTTGGAAGTGAATTTTTAAAGATGATTTTGTTTGAGTCTGTACTGATCTATTCATATTTTGTATTGGTCTTGTAACCTAACAATCAAAGGGCATTTACAACTTGTATTCTTAGATGTATTATTTATTTGAAAGACAAAGCAGCAGACATGGGGCGGGGGGAAATGGAGGATGAAGAGGAGAGAAAGAAATTATTTGAAGCTTGGGTTTCCATCCTTATCTTCCAAGTTGGTGATAGAGACCCAAGTACTTGGGCCATTTTCCGCTCCTATCCAAGTTGAAGTAGCTGGATTCAAACCCATACTCCATTTTAGATACTAGGAAATCAAGCAGTTGTTTAGCCCGTTGAGCCACAAAGCTGGTCTTCATACTGCATTCTTGATTTCAAATTTACTTCAATTTTCATTATAATCTGTAAGAACAAAACAAAGTATTGAAATAATTAATTCCAGGAAAAGACAATGTACCCTGAGAAATTCCATTTATGAGGAATGAGTGAACATAAACAGTAACATTTGCTTTCTCGTTCACTTAGGATTGAAGTAATAACGCATATAGGATTTAACATCTTAATACATGCATTTTTAAAACAATTTTATTAACAATAGATAAACATATTTATGGGCTACAATATGATAATTTAATGCATGTATACAATGTATACTGATCAAAACAGGAGGTAATATGGAACACTAGAGTGAAGTTCTATAGATTCTCATCACAAGAGATATGATGGCTCTTTATCATGGTATCAAGCCCCACACCAGCCACAACCGTTCTCTTGAAGGAGGTGTGGTCCAAAACAAGTTAAAGCTGGCACACAATATCAAGATAGATGGTACTGTGCCAGTAGCACCGTATCAATTTTAAAAAATGCTATTTGTTCAAGCTTCACTCTGTCATATATTCCAAAAGCAAACTCCAGTGCCGCAGTGTGTGTCCTTGTTTTCCAAGATGAGCACTTTACCACAAACATGTGTGGGAGATAGGAAGTTCAATCACAACACTAACGAAACCACTGGACTGCTTCAAGACTGGCAGAAGGAGGATGAGTCTACGAAACTCATTTCTTTACTGTTACTGCTTCATTATCTGTGGAGCCAGATTGTGGAAAAACTGATCGACTATTCCGACACAAGAGAGATCCAGATGAACCAAGGTATCTAGCTAGCAGTTGAGAGTTTGCAGGATATTCTAGAGTAGAAATAGAAATTAGGATTCCCACCCCACCCCCACCAAAGAAAAGCTGATGAATGAAGCACATTTTCTGTCTGGAGCCACAACATGAGTACAGCTGGGAGGATTCCTCCTCTCCAAGCTCTCTCTGCTAGAAAGCCTCTGGTTTGTATCAGCACACTGATGAGTTGATATTCTTGATGTGATATGAATAATCATGCCAGTCTTCATTGCACCAACCAATGAAATGACCCCTGAAAATAACAAAAAGGAGAAGAAAACAAATGATAAGCATGAGAAAATTTTTATAAAAATATTATAAGTTGTTGTGATGTTTTGCCATGTTATTGTCTGCTTATTAGAACTGCTTTAGTTTCCACCAACCACCACCCCCACCACTACCACCACCCTAACAATTAAAAACAAAAACAAATAAAAAGAAAAAAAAAGAATGGCTTTGGTTTTTATTAGTAGACGCAATTTAATTGATAATAAGGAACCATAAAAATGTGGTAACATCTAAATAGTCAAGTTAGTTCAATAAAGCACACAGAACATTAAGAACACATGTGAGCAACCAGCTATGTGTAACTGACCATATCCATAACCATATCCAAAATTACTTCCAAAAATGATTATGGGCAGATATTGTGGGCAGGTGAAGTTGCTGCTTGACTGCCCCACATCCCAATCACAGAACCTGGTTTCAGTTCCATCAAACCAACTTCCAACCCTGGTCCCAGCTAATACACATGGAAGGTGGCAGAAGATGGCCAAGTACCGCGTTCTTGACACCCACATAGAAAACTCAGATCTAGTTCCTGGTAGCCAGCTGCTGGCTAGCTTAATACAGCTGTTGGAGGAATTTAGGAAGAGAACCAGCATGTTATTTAACTTCTTGGTGTTGTTAATTTCTTTTTTCTCCCTGATGTTGATTTTGTTTTGTGGCTCTTCATTTAAGGGGATGTATAGTAGCTGTGTAATGGAGACTGTCATATCTAGTAACGTGTCATTTAACTTCATGGCATTGTAAATTTCTATTTTTCTATTGTTGATTTTGTATCATGACTTTTCATTTAAGGGGATGTACAGTAGCTGTGAAATGGAGACTAAACATCCAGATGTGAGGATGAAGTATAGTATGCATTTCTGCTTCCAGACAAAGATGGAATCACAATGAAACTGTTTATATCTTGACAATAGGATGCTGGATTCTCTGCCCTTGTCCATGCCTGCAAAGATGGACATATGACTGTGTATGAAGAACTATATGTTAGTAATGATATAGAGGAACTAGGTGGGGGGGGAGGGAATTGAGGAGGGGATAAGGGAATATGGAACTGTATCATAAAATGATAATAATAATAATAAAATGTAAAAAAAAAAAAAAGAATCAATGGTCCTGGGGTGGGTGGGAAGCTGGGTGGGGCTTCTCCCTCAATATCCCCCTTTAAACATGAAGGAAACAATATGGAAATAATAGTCTTACCCACTTTCCTATAGCCCTGAACCTTTTTACCCTAATTAACTATGTAAAGGTTGTCAAAAATATAATTTTATAAACCTATTCAAAATTTTTAAAAAAACAAGTTATCTCTCTGTATGTATCTCTCTACCTTTTAAATAAATAAATATTTTTGTAAATATATGTAAAGAACTTTAAGGAAATATGTCAGGTGTGCAATTTTTTCTTAAAAATGTTACATATTCTAGGGGCTAATGGTGTGGTATAGCTAAGCCTCTGCCTCCAGTATCAGCATCCGCATTTGGCTGCCAGTTGAACGATCCCAGTGATTCTGTTTCTGATCCAGCTTCCTGATAATGACCTGGGAAGGCAGTGGAGAAGGGCCAAAGTTCTTGGGACTCTGCATCCACATGGCAGACCCAGAAGAAGCCTCTGAACCCCAGTTTCAGATGAGGTCAGCTCTGGCCATTGTAGCCATTTGGAGAATGAACTAATGGATGGAAGATCTCTCTCTTTCCTTCTCTCTCTGTAACATTTTCAAATAAAAATAAATCCTAAAAATGTTACATATTCCACAACTCTATCTTACTCTATTCAATTTTGAATAATTGCACAATAGTAAAGGATAAGGCACAACATCAAGCTTACTAACCACTGTAAGATTTCACTTTATTTTCACAATAATGGTTTCATAAAATCAGCAATAAGCTGAACCCTGTTAATGAAAAGAAATCAGAAGAAACATAGAATTCCAAAAGAAAAACATATGTTTCAAGGGAAAAAAAAATCAAAGAAACTTGAAGGTAATACCAAAAATGAGAGATAATTACCATGTAGCAGGACTGATGAGCAGGGAAAAACAAAAAGGGATGAAAGCCTCATTATACCTCTACCACTCCAGCTTGGGGGTACTTGTCTGAAAGTTACACATTTGAACAACGACTTTTGGTTACTGGTTTTGACAAATACTATTACTTAATATTATGCACATTGTAAGCAAACAATAAACCATAAACTTTTTCTGAGATTCTTAAAATAAGGGTTGATTTTTAGAAGGAATCTCAAGCTTAATCATAATGGCAAAGAAGTTCCATTTCAATGAAGCACTTGTTACTGCTCTTAGCTGTATTCTAAGAGATATGAGAGTTGTGAAACTCTGTGTTAATCATGTAACTGCAAATTTCATCACAGTTTTCTTTTCTTGCTTAAAAAAAAATTAATTACTTGAAAGGCAGTATTACAGACAGAAGAGGGCAAAGACAGAAAGAAATCTTCAGTAGACTGGTTCACTCCTCAAATGGCCATAATGGCCAGAAGTGAGGGTTTCCCACTTGGAGAGACCCAAGAACTCAGATCCATTCCTACTGCTTTCCCATGCACATCAGTATGGAGCTAATTCTACAGAGGATCAGCGGGCACTCAAATCAGAGTCCTGATATGGGATGTCAGTGCTGTTGGCGGCAACTTTAACCTGTAGTTTCACCATACCAAACCCAAGTTTCCTTTCCTAAAAACAGAAAATCAAAGGTAACATAAAACTTAAAATCTTCTCCTTAAGTTTATAGAAAACATGATGCCCTTTGCTCATCATTTGAGTGGGATTTTTGGTTCATTTTGTCTACAACAAAGAAGGTAATAAACAAAGAAGACCCATTCAAGCTTTCAGATTTTTTTTTTAGCCCAATAACAAAATGCTTAGTCTGTGAATTACCTGTCCTGTTTTGTAGGTAGCACCTGTATCGTTGCCACACATCTGTGAAAGCACAGTATCAGCCAACTGTTAATCAAGGATCACTTCCCTTCAAAGTGACTGATGATCCTCTGCTAAAACAGCTTATAAAAATAACTTTCTGGGAAAGGTGCTCCAGGGCTTTCAGACACATCTCACCAGTCCTGCTAGCTTAATGCATGTCTGAAAGTTAATTCCTCATTAATATTTAAAGAAGAAATGACTTAAGAACAAAAGTTAACTACTCCATCACATTTTAGAAATAAAATATTTTTGGCATTATTTTCATTTTGATTACAAGGAATGATAATGTCCAAGATTGGCTTTTAAAACTGTTAATGAGCCCTGGCTATGTGAAAAAGATATGGATTAGGTAGATGTAATGAGATATGATTAAAGGGTGCAGGCACCGAAGGGTGTTGGAGAAAATCTTTTCACAGACAGTATAATTAGTGTCTAATATAAGTACCTAGTAGATAAGATATTTAAAAAAAAAATAAGAAAGAAGGGTTAAGATAAACACATACTTTACAACAAACCTGTTTAATTTTCCCCCATTGGTTCTTGTGCATAGTCTATATTATGCTGAAGCTTCATTCTCATAAATAATGTTGGTTGAATGCTTGGTGCAATTCTACCAGACAATTAGAATGATTTAATTGCTAGACATGGAGAGCAGAAAATGTGTTGAAACATCTTATTCCATTTTCAGGATACATTTCTTTGTTGATTTATGTAATGTAGCTAATAATATGCAACCTACCCTAGTTTTAAACAAACAAATGAACTTCTAAAAAGCTTTCCATAAGTTGCTAAGCAACTCCAAAGGCACATTTTATTAATTTAATAAATAACATTTAAATGAAAGATCCTTAAGGAAGATTTTTAACTCTGTTTTATAAAAGGTGGAACATCTAAGCAGGTGCCCTCCTAATTCTTCATTTCCAAGGTCTCAGGGTTAGGAAGGGATCCTGCACCTTCGGATTCACGTCTGCTTCACTAAGCAGCATGTTTCTCCAATTTAAATCATT